TTGTCCAGTTTCTTATCCACTTTCTCGCACAGACCAAATGGTATCCTTCACACTGGCTGAGCAAGAGGCTTCACGGTATCATCTACATGGCGCTTAAGCTCATAACCTTTGAGACGACCAATCCCTGTAAACAAATCTCAATACCTTCGTCGAATATCATCCTTAGAATGCTCACTCACGACACTGTTCCCCGGAAGGGGACGGACATGCAATAAACTGAGTGTCTCCGCAGTCTCTCATCCAAGCAGAGTGCACCCTTCACCCTTGTCAACCACATTTCCAGAGTCGGCAATGGTTCAGTAGCACCATAGGCAAACAACACCTTAGCTGCAAGGCGTGATTCGTACTGGATTCCATTAGCTTTCAATCAATTCCAGGTTTGCTGGCCCATCAAATTACACGTAGTTCCAGAGTCAACAGTGCATTAGGCAAGTCTACTTCCCCTACATTGAGAGTAACCTCACCATTATCTGAGTTCAGATTGCGACAGGTTTGGCCAAGTTTGAATGTGAAATTAGGACTTTCTCTGGCTGAGAACGTCTCACTTCCCACAGAATTTGCTTCATTGACTACATCTCGTCTGCTCCTGTTATTTCCTCTGCCACTGCCACTCTTTACCTTCTCGCACCTCTTCCCTCCATTTTGGTGACCTTGCATACATGTAATCTGGAAATGTCCTATTTTCCCGCACTTCCTACAAGCTTGATCACGTGCTGGGCAACTCTTATCTCTTGCAAAATGTCCTTCCCTTCCTTCCTAGCCTTTTACCTCCCCTCACAACGCCTGCATTCCTCGCTCCACCCACGTTTGTTCCTGGATCCTCATGCTTTCCACACACTGCTGAAATTTTTCCTGCCAACAGCGTTCACGTGACTCTGGCTGAAGTTTTCCTCCATTTCTTTCAAATGGCAGCTAACGGCTTCCTGCGCCCAATAAACAATCTAGGGTAACAGTTTCCTGCCCTAGAAACTTGAGACCTAAATGACTTAAGTAGCACTTATCAATAACTTGATGATGACTGTAATCATCCTGCAGGACCCCAAAATCACAGCTCGCAGCCCCCTGCTGAAGCCTACACACAAATTGGTCCACTGTCTCATAACTAGCTTGTACAATCTGCTTGAAAAAGTGCCTTTCAAATGGTACAGTTGACTTTGGAACAAAATAGTCATCAAGCGCCTTCATCGTGGTGGTGAAAGAGAAAATGTCTTCTTCGCTGACCATTGTAAAATAGATTTGCACATCGACTCCCGCAGCGTGTAAGAGAAGAGCTCTCTTCTGCTTGTCATCTGTAACCCCTTTTCCTGTCAGATACGATGGAAAAGATCGTTTCTATCACTTCCATCGTTGGCTGATACCATTCAGATCGCCTTTTGGGTCGAACGCCGTCAATGACCCAACGTCCACCAAAGGCATCATCACATCAACACCGCCAGATCCCACTTTGTTGCTTGCATTCACCGTGCCGCCTTCAAGGCATCTTTGAATTTGTCCCAATTAAAAACCATCCAAATGTCTCAACTGAAAATCATCCTCATCGCCAATGTAAAGTACTGGGTGCGCTGGTTACAATTACACAACTAACAACCCTTAGTGAATTATTTCCCACTTTTTAAATACGTACTATCTAAATCTTTATAACACCTAACAACACCTACTACCAGTTATGAAATGCATAATGAAGAGGTAATTTCCTTGACACTACAGTTATGTGTGAAGTAAGACTTCATATGCTCTGGGTTTGTTTGTATCTCCTTATGTACATCTGCTTATATACATACGTTATATACATACATTAAGTTTTCAAACCATTATTAAATCTCTCTCTCAGATGTCCTTTGCTTTAAAATTGGCAGTTTCCATCCTGGTACCGAATTTGACCTCAGCCATCTTTAATGATTAACAAGGTCATGTGACATAGTTGTGCAAAGGGTCTATCACATGCACATGCACAAAATGATCAAGAAAGACAGAATTGGGCCTTTTTCCAAAAAGAAAGTATTATTTTAAGGGCAACGCCATAAGAACCTAAAAGTGACAACTCCCAAAGCAGAGTTACTTGTGGTATGATTAGGAACTTTACTCGAACAAAAACCAAATACACGCCACTTATCTCCTTGTGTTTCACTGCTGTGGAGGTCACATTCTCTTCAAGGATTAAACTGGTTTTCTTTTTTCATTGACAGGTGAAAGGCGCACAGCAATACTTTATCTGTCTTGGGTTTGCTACCAAACCAAAAAGGAAGGGTCCACTCTTGTTGTTCTCCAGATGCGGACTGTTTGGATAAGGTACTATTTGTCTCGAATAAAATAGCAAAGAAAATAGATTTTAACTCTTGTGCTACTTTGAGCTGATTGCAGGAAAAATATAGTTCTTAAGAGGAAAGGTTTAATTGTCTTGTTAAACTCCAGGTTTTCGTTATTTCTTTGGCTGAGCTGTCTGGTCACTAATGATGAAATGGAAGCACTCAACAGGATAATTGGTAAAAGAAATAATAGAACTCTACAGTGTCAAAAGGAAGGGGTTCGAGATTTTTCCCAATAGAGAAAGCTAGAAAGAAAAAGCAGTGGTGACTTCTTGCAGTGGTGGCGGCCAAAGCAAAGAAACATGAGTCAGATTCTCTTTAGGGCAGAAATGTACAGTTGGAAGTTGTCGGAACGAAAGACAACAGCATAAATTGTCAGAACTAAAGGAAGATGGTTTTCCAAAAAAATTATTAGTTAAAGAAATTGCAGGTCTTTACATTGGTCTTTACATTGATCTCCAAATACACTTAAAAGGAGGATGAACATTTTAAACAATGTACTGTACTCTTTAATTTTTGTGTTCATTTCTTTGTTGATTGCATTTCTGAAATCTGACTCCGTTTTTGGAGGTGACTTGATGCAGTCGATAAGCATAGTCCCATCGATTTTATGCATTTCCTTAATAGACTTGTCATTGCCATATTCGAGAGTAGTAAGGCGGTCTTGTTCAAATGCTGGATCCAAAAATCTTATACCCAAGGGTTGTCTTCTTGTCAAGCTGTTGTGAAGGTCTTTTTTTTCAGTTTGATTCATCTAACAATACTTACCCAACAAAAGTTACCTTTGGATAAACTAAAAAATAATAACAATAAAAAAAAATAAATTACGATACTTTACAATGAATTACAGTACATTGCATTACAGTCTTGCTACAAAAGTACAATAAAATGCAAGTGTAATGTTGAGTATAACCTTACTAGTTGAATTAATATTGTTAGCAAATAAACTTCTCAATTAAAGGCTTCCATTTCTTATAATAATATTTTTGTTTTTCTATCTCGGCTTTGTTTACCACTATAGTTAGATAATCGCTTCATAACAAAGGCTCTTCTCTTATACTGCAGCAGTATATAATATTTCACCGGTAGTAAGAGATGATTACTTAACTTATTGAGGTGATTGTTACCAATAACACCATACAAGATGTTAATGGTTGATAGTTCTAGCCCTATTGATACGTGAGACCTGTACCAGTCCAGGAAAGCTTCCCAGAACTCTGAGACGAACTGACACGAGATTAGCATGTGCTTCAAATCTTGTTTTGTTCCCAAGCATAGATAGCTGAGATCACTGTTGGCGAGATTAGCTCTGAACAATATTTACTCGGTAAAACCTATGTCATGTGAAATCTTGTATTGGAACATTATTAGCTTTGTTTCTTTGGTGCAAAAAAAGCAAAGTTAAAGTAGCCGTGTATGTGGTCCGGTGGTAACCAATTGTCAATATGGCATTGTGTGTCTCTAGGTTCCTCAAATATGTGATTAAAAAAACTCTCGAGTATAGCCTTGGTTGTTAATGCTTTCAAGCTCTGACGTTGCTGTGTAGGTTGCTGTTGTTAATGTGCATTTATTTGTTTAATAGATTTTTTTATATTCATTTGGCATAACGTTTATTACTCTGTAATAAGTCAAAAAGTGTGTTTTTATCTTGTAACGGGTTTTAAATTCTTCATAAGTAAGGAAATCAAGATCAAGATTAGGATCGAGAAGGTTTTCTGTAGTGGAACTCCTCTACTAAGCCGTGTTCGAAAGAAGATCGTAATATTATCAATTTTAATATCTTTGTTGTTCCATATGATCGTGTTTCTAGTACATGGCTTAGTATTAAACTCAAACCAGTATTGCAGTGTTCTTATGTAGAAGAGTGGTAACTCCGTAATGTTGATACCTTTCCTGCTGCAGTTGCACTTAGAGAGGAAGGAAAAACCTCCCAAGTGTGAAGTGGCTTCATTAGGAATAACCGTCCATGCTGAATTCTCATTCAGTGTAAAGTGCTTTATCCTAATGCATTTGTGACAGTGAAAGGTGAAATGGACGCTAACGGTTATCCGTTTCAAGAGGGTAAGCGTTTGTTATCCATTCGTTGTTCCTTCGCTTGCTTTTAAAAAACCGTTTGAAAAAATTAGCATTTGTCCGAATGGTTTGCCTATCCATTCCAAAAAAATTAGCATGCGTTCGAACGGTTCGGCTATCCATTAAAAAAAATTAGCATCTGTTTGAACGCTTTGCCTGTCCATTCAAAAAATTTGGTATCCGTTCAAAGGATTCCAACATCCGTGTGAATGGTTAAGACATACATTCGAAGGATTTTTGTATCTGTTAGCAAACTGAACATGTCCATTCCAAAGGTTGCAGCATCCCTTCGAACGATTTAGCCTCTCATCCTCGACATTTTCCTATCCGTTCGACGTGAATGTAAAAGGATAAAATGACGATCTGAACACTAACAAACATTCGATATTTTCAGACAATAATTTCCTACTGACAGGTAAGAACTATCCTTGTGCCTGCAGTACTGTATCTTTTTGTCGTAGCAACGATTGTGACAGCAATCAATTGTTATCCTGCAACAAGACGCAGCAAGAGAAAAACCGGATAGATTGTGGTGTTTTGAACGAGAGAGCCGTAAGTTACAAGAAATTCTTACAGCTGTAGGACGAATTTTATCCTGACGTGGTCATCTCTAAACCCTTGATGAATCTTTGTTTAACGTGTCAGCAAAACACGACGAAACTGCAGCGAGCTGCTAACCTCTCAGATGAAGAAAAATCAGATTGTGTAAAAGCTGAACAGGAACATTTGGACATTGCACAAAGCAAGAGAGAATGTTACAGGAACCCTGGTAAGGAATGCGAGAGATTTCTTCAAACAATTGACACTAATACTCTGCTGATCTGTGAAACCCGACGGGCCTGTTCTTTAAATGCATCAATACATTACTCATTTGACTTTGCACAACAGATACATGTACCAAGCAATGATTGAATAACCATGGACTGGGAGAACATCATGCGCATCTTTATGTGGACAATTGCACCAGCCAAAACAAAAACAGCTTTTTCCTTTGGTACCTGACATACAGAATTTTGCTGAAACTTCACCGCTCAATTACATACTCTTTTCTAATAGCAGGACACACAAAGTTTGGTCCTGATCAATCCCTTGGCTTGACTAAGAAAGTATATAAGGTGACTCATGTCTCTTCATCGTATGAATTTGCTAGATTGGTTGAGACCTCTAGTAACAGTGGCTTAAACAGAGTACAGCTGGTTGGAACCTATGATGGTCGAATCATTGTTCCCGTACGTGATTGGGCGTCATTCCTTGGCCAGTATTTTAGAAAGTTCCCGAACATTAAGAAGTGTCATCATTTCCGGTTTTCTTAGGAAAACCCTGGAATGGTTTATTATAAAGAATTTGTGAACAGCCCTGAACATTCTTTCATGTTGTTGAGAACTCAAGCCGTCCTTCCACCCTCTACAGCTACTCCTCCAGTTATAAATTCAAGCGAACTGTCTCAAGAACAAACACTTTAGCTCTACCGTGAGATAGGACAATTTTGTAAGCCAGGAACAGAGGACATTGTAGCTCCTGCCCCTTAGCTGTTGTCAAACTACTAAATTTATCGATCGAAAATATTCCCTCGTAGAATCAGACACTATGTAGAATCTATGCAGATGCTATGTCACAAAGCTATGTAAAACCTATGTCAATCAGTCATACATTGCTTTAACCAGGTCCTATGTTGTTTCTATGCCAGGACTATTTTTTGTATCGAAAATGCTATGTTTTCACTAGTCAAACGGAACCTACTTAAAAGCTATCCAGATTTTAAAGGTAGGAAAAAAGGAAGAAATGACATAGTTTCCACATAGCCTATACATATAATTTACTTAGCTTTTGGAAAGAGATTTTAGACTTCATAGTCAACCTTATACAAAAATCATAGAAAATAAATAGCCTTCACAAAGGACTGAAATAGAGTTTACATAGTAAAATGGAACAGGGAACGGTTGATTAAATAGCTTTTGAATAGGGTTTGCTTTGAATTTAGATAGCCTAGAAATAGTAAAAACATATGATAAGCATAGCCTTTTTTAAAGGTGACATATACTTTGCATAGCATTAAAATAGGGAAAACACAGAACAAATAGTCTTTGCATAGGTTTGAAATAGGATTTTAATAGCATTTGAGTAGGTAAAACATATCGCATACACAACCTTTAATTAGACTTCAAACAGAAATTACATAGAATTGACATAGTCTTTAATGTATGTAGATTTCGATCTGCTTAAGCAAATGTGGTGTTTAAAACACGCTCGTAAAAATCACCAGAATAGTAGAAACAGTATAAACATATGGATAAGAATACCTTTTACATTGGTAAGAAATGGGTTTTGAAACGAAAAATTGAAAAACTATACCAATATAATACGACGAACACTAATACAACACAAATGGAGTATTTTCATGGAGCAGCTTCCGAATCGAAACTCCAAGTTAAAGTTTGATTAATTGCTTATCGTGTAGACTTTTGGCTGATGTCGTGCTCTTCAGTGCCACACAGTTTACTTTTGACAGCAACGAATAAGTATCTGCAAACAGAAAGTGGAGATTTTAAGGCAAATGAACACAAAAACAACCTGACGTTTTAGAATTAAAACGAACGAGTATCAAAGCGTGATCGAAGGTGACCGATCCAACTTGTTCAGAAACGCGAAAGGGGAGGCAACACAGGCAAATCGAAACTTAAATTGAGAAAAACATCACTTACCAACGTTAGGAATACTTCTTGTTGAACCTGACAGGAAAAAGACTTTAAATTGAAGTAAAAAGAAGCGTCTTCTTTGACATGAAAGCGCCCGCGTGGAAACAGACAATTTTCAGACCTTTTCATCGGTTGAAAAGGCCCACGTGACGATAAAACGCAAAATACGCATGTGTTGAACTGACGGGCTTCCCTGGGAACTAGTGGAAACAAAATGGCTCACAAACACCGAGGACTGCAGCTATTTGCTACTAGCCTCTAGCGACAGCGCGTCACCCAAGCCGAAAATGAACTGGAAACTAATCAAAACACTCGAAAGGGGTTGGTACCAAGTACTTTTAACGCCTGCTTATGATTAGCGTTTATACTTCTCCGAAGCAAATATTCCGACGAAAAATGCTTGGTCGTCTGGTTCGCGAAAGGAT